TTGACTGAGGGGCCCATAACTGAGAGCAAAAACAAAAATGAGAGCGCACTAATGAGCAGTAAAGACGCAAAAGCGCTGTACTACCAACAATACCTGCGCAGTTTCTTTTGAGAAAACCAAGCATCCTATTAGCTTTAGCAACAATCATAACTATGTGATCTTTTTAAGAGGTGTCATTTGCAATCACAATACCTAAATCTTTTTCAGATATGACAACCTCCACATTAATACCATTTAAATTATAGCTACGAGGTGGACTAAGGCGTTTCCTAGAAATGCGCAGGTTACTGCACTTAGTAGGCTGAAAAAACAACTCATTTCGCAACGACCAATTTGAAAGCGCATCTAAATCCTGCTGCAGTTGCAAGTAATCAGAATGATGATTTGTAACCTTGTAACATTTTGAGTCATAAAGCGGGATAACCTAAGAGGGGTGGGAAGCACCTGCTATGACGCTGTTGTTTTCTCCGATTTTCTCGTCCACCGTAAAAATCCTGATTGGTCAGAATTAATTAAGTAACTTAATCGACAATCTCGTTCTTAGAGGCTGCGGTCCTTTTGGTCAGCACCAGGAAATCGAGAGGTCCGGGAGAAATGGGAAGGCCAGTCTCTCTGCGCATTCTCAGAAACCACGCATGCGCACGGTCAAACCGGAAACAGGACTTTTGGCTCCGTTCCTTGCACATGGTGACTGCGCCCGCAGTACGAGCGGCAGCCAAAACCGGCAAAGTTTCCGATCCGGCGAAACGACACGGTAACAGTCTTTTTCTTCGCAGCTTTCAAAAATAAAGACAATTCTAAAGTTGCTTTGGCCTCTTCTAATATTTAACTCGAGATTTCTGGGTTTAATTTGATGAGGAAAAACATAGTTTGTTCGAAATAATACAACTATTTTCCTTCCTGGCGACACTCGACGAACTACGAGTGAGTTGCCTGAGGCGAGCGACCCATTTTTGAGGCCAAATTAAAAGGTTGAAGCTGCAAAATGTTTCATATTTTCCCGGCACTTTTTACAATCTGATATGGTTTTTGGAATTATTCCTTTTCTTGAATATTCATTACCGCCCCCAGTGTGAAAAGTTGCCTGACTGCAAGGCTTTTCCTGTTAACATACATTGACCAGGACGGTACAGTCTTTCCCGCCTTCTGAACCCTGATTGGTCAATAGGCCATATTCAAGTTGCTCTTACCTCTGTTTCTAAACGAGTCACAACCCTTCTTATTGAAACGAGTTTTTCTTGCACGATCACCGTCTTGCTAATCATGTGAATGGTTGTGCACCAGTACTCTTTATGAAACAGAAGTAAAAAACAACTGGAAAATGGCTGATTCAAATTTCAGGCGCGCCAGCCGTTTGGAAGGCGGTTTTTGATTTCGTCGCGCATTCGACCAACGCTGACCGTAGACACGGGGGCTCTGGGGCCGGATTTTCCTTATCGATTACTCTGATTGGTCAGTAATGCTGTAATTTAAGTACTTTGTTGTACTTTGTCCTCTCAAAGACATAAACATGGGGAGATGAATCGGGAAAGGAACGTTTTGGACGACTTCTTCAAGAGGCACTCAATATACTGGAAGGAAACTGTTTCAAGTACGAGTTAAAAGTAGAGCAGATGAAGGAATAAGACAGCTCTTGGAAGAGAAAGATCTACCAGCCGTTTTGCTCACAAGCTATGAAAAGAGTTTGATTTTTCAGCGGCTCGTGCCGGTTGGTTGTGAGAGGAGCCAGGAAGCTAGAATCTGCATGTCTTCAGGTTAGAACGCCCCAAACAAACATTGTAAACGACCAGATTGTCCAAGTCGAGGCCATGGATTCGTCTGCCCGTAATTTGGCGGGAAAGCTGGAAAAATTGAAGGATGTCGCAGAAGAAAATTCGATAGTACGTACCTATTCATCATCGGAAAGTGTAATAGATTAACGATTTCTCCAATCGCTGACGAAGGACTCTGCCTTCAGTAGAAGTTTAGTGGCTTGTGTAGTCGACGAGCCACATACAGTAGAAACATGGACCGGTTTAAGGTGAGAGGTTTAATATTTTCATCCAGACATTCCACAGCTTACTGGGTTTTGCATACTTAATTAAGGGCGGAATGGCAAAAACAACTGCGTCATCGCAACGTTCCCCTCCCTCCCCCTCTGATCTCGCTTCGTGCTACTCGTTTTCCCCAGTCCCTCCCCTTTGAACGCCTGCCACGCAGACTTAGGACTAATATTTGCTTGTTTTTTTTTTCTTTTGAAGATAAAATTTCCAAGGGTTAACTATCACACAAGCGCGAGACATAAATATTCTATTGTCTTTATTGTTCACGTCCAAATTTTCTCGTAGCGGCATGCTTAAAATCTAAGAACGACATGGTATTACTGAAATTTCCAACCACTATGGACCGCGTGGAGCTGGAGCGTAAATTACAGGCATCCTTACTGCGCATGCCATTCGCTCATAACATAACGAGGGCTAGTGCGTGCATTTATGTCATAATACAAACTCGCGGCGATTTATAACAATACTAGTGGGAGCTGCTACAACTTAGTGTGGATTTAACAATCTTAGACGTTCGGTGACCCTAGTTTTCCTTTGATAGATCACTACCTCTACCATTTTTCTACGTTTTGCGAAAGGTTGAAAAAATCTTTATGATAGAAGTATACTGAACCTTTTGCCCCATGCACCATCGAATTCCGTTCTTTTGAGCTTTTTGTTTAGCTTCACGATGGTTTGAAAATTTGGAATTACTGACACTCCAGACCCACTTACAGAAAATATTTCAAAGGTAGCTTGCCTCCGTCAACTCATGTTTGATATTTTTGACCAAAAAGCCCGGAGATAATGTTGAGTTATCTGCACCCGTTCTTACTGATCGGATTATTCTTTCACAGTAGCTTCAAAACGAAGTCGGTGACCCCCATTTTGTTTTGCATTTGTCGCAGCACTTCCTTATTATGTAGCCGTAATAAAAGATTGTAAAAAACTTCTACATAGCTAAAGATTTTGGCACACACACTCTAGAGGTACCTTATTTGGGTTAATTAGAATTAAGCGTACAAACAATTTTCTATATATACGACAAGAAATTCAAACCTAACCTCTGCCCGCTTGCCGTGACTCGTTCAAATCCGGGTACTAACCGTAGTGGGAGTGAGTTGTGCTTGGTGGCCAGAGCTTTCCCGCGGCCTCCCATAGATGGGATTGATTTAGTCCTCGACCCGGGGTTGTTTTATCGTCAATCGCAGGCGATTCGTAACCAAAGTTGCGAATATTCAAAAGAAGAATTCGCCGTCAAAATTCGTCTTGTCAGGCGTGAAATAATACATTAGAGATGGACATGTTCATTACTTTTGTGACGTGGAGGGCTAAGATTGAGCTGTGGCGGGTTTAAAGATGCTTCTAGCGAGCTTTTCGAACTGGTCTTCATCCGGTTGGTGATATCTCCTGTGCTGCTTTGTCTCCTCTTTAGTACGCGTCGGATCAATCAAATGGCATTCAGAAGTGCTAGAACGGCAAGAAAAGAACACCAGGTAAGGTTTTAAACTTTAGATTAGCTTTTTAAAGGAAATAAGGCGATAGACTGGAGAGTTTAAAGTCGAATTCAGTTCAAATCCACACCCCGCCCTTCTTACCTAATTCAACATGGCGGCGAACCTTGTCGATCGCAAGCTAATAAAATGCGGATAACTCGCGCGCCGTCTGAAAATGCGTGCACTACACCGTCTACAAAATGATTTTATCCTTCTTGGCCTGGCGCATGTGTTATCAGCGCGTTATAATTGACGACGGAAGGTTTATATGGCGTTTGAAAATCACGAACGAAAACAAATGAATGGAAAGGGTCTTGAAACTTTGCCAGTTTGGAAAACTGAAAACTATCACTCTAATCTTCAACAAGTATCAGTTATCAACTCATTAATCTTGTTGATACGCGTGTTTATGAAAGTTTTTTCTTCTTCTGAGAGTTGCCACCAAAATACTCGTCTTTGTACATCAATATTGGCCTTTCTTCTACAACTGCAATCTCTCCTCTATCTCCGACGAAACTCCAGCTGAACAGTTATGTATTACAACCAGAGACTTTGTTAATTGTAGCTTTAAAAATCCTGAACTTTCTGAGCTGTATCATTTGTACGTATATACACCGACAATGAGAAACCGTGATCCCGGGATGAAGTTGTGTTATGTGTGTCTGCATGCGACCATGTAGCTAAAGATGAAGAGTGTTATGAAAACATCAAAATCTTCAAGGTATTGCCCCCTCCATCTGCCTTCAGCATTCTTTAAAAACGTTATTTAAAAAGGGAACTTGTAATAAGCAATGATAACGGCGATGCTAGGAGGACGCCTAAAAAAATAAGTCACCATAGTTTACCTTTGAATGCCTTCAGATCCGTTTCGTCGTCATTACGTAATGCAATTTCCACCCTAAGTATGAGCTCAAAGAGTGGAACACTCCATAACAGTACTTCCCCCATTTGGTATTATTTTGATTATTTCCTCGTCATGCAGCAACATACATAAACCATGAAGAGGCCATACAAAAGATAAACACTTAATAATAAGGATTGTAATATGACTGACAAAATTACTTCTTTGTAGCTGAGAGCAGGCAAATTTAATTTATCGTCAAATTTATATTTTTACTGCAGCGCAACTTTACGCGAGCGTGTTCTTAATTTTCTCAGTCATCTAACAAATGAGTCAACGTATGAAAGCTCGAGCAATTAAGTATTTAAGCTACTCCTGATATTTGAAAATTCTTTCAAATTATACTTGCCGAATTTTGAGAGAATTTTCAAATGCCACTCGTAGTGTTAATTCTTAATTACGAAATAATTTGATATGTTCCCTTCGTCTCTGGATAAGCGATTTCCATTCTAATCGTTCGATGATGGCATCAGTAGCCAATTCCTGAGAGCTTTTGAGGACAATGCGACTAGCTCTTCTTAGCAAACAATCGATCTCCAGTAAGTTGTCATGCGACCACAGCCAACTCAGGTGATGTCAGACCACGCCAAGAGTAGTATTTAGAAAAGGCTAGAGACTTTCGCTGGTCTCGTGTAAAATACAGGACGCTATTTCTTGGCAGTTCTGCGAGACGTCCGCAAAGTGAAGAAGTCAGGAGAGCCACTACTTAGGACACAAACGTTGCTTTCCTTCATTTTAATGTACAACCTGTTTTCTCTGATCCTTATTAAAATAATATTCTTTACAATAATACTTGTGCTAGTCGTTATTTTACCCGATGTTACAATAAAATAGAACTGGGACATTATATTTCGATATATTTCCGCCTGATTTTGGAAAGTATTGAGTGTGGGTGCGTTGTTGAAGGTAACGGATCTCGATTTTTCGCAAATTTAAAACTGGCATATCATGTTTTAACCACAACATTTCAACACACCAACAAATCGTGTCTCGACGAATTCCCTTCAAAACTTTCACTAACAACAGACAAACAACGGGGACTTAAATTAAATTTTGACCTGAGCATCTTACATTTATACGGGCCCATCTAGATACCCGTTTGTTTTGTAAATACTTTCTTTGTCACAAACAATAATTACATTAATTTCAATAATTACAAAAAAGTTATTTCTGACATCTCCTATTTTAAAGAGAAGACGCCACCACAAAGATGATTACATTTAACTGCTTGTGACGCTACAAGCGAGTACTTTACTTAAAATCTGTATCAGCTATAATTTGTCCTCAAATAATCATACTGTAAAGCCACTGTGAAGAGGGACTTGAAACTGGGATTTGCCTGTTTTTTTTTTTGTTTCGTTTTTGTTTTTGTTTTCCACTGGAAAACTAGAATCTGGATCACTGGTCACTGGGACTGGGAATCACAAATAAAACGTTGGGATTGGGACTAAAATCTGGATAAAAATAGGCTGGAAAATGATTTTGGGTATACCTTGGGCTGGGAAATGCGAATTATTCTTCCCTACTTTCAGAACTTTTTATGGGAAGTAAAGTGAGCTTGGGGCAAGCAGAAAGCAGAAAGGTGATTTTGAAGAAAAGAAGTAAACTGAGGACAGACAGATGACGGTGACTTACTAACATATAACGTATTTATTTGTCCATGCAGACTTTGTGTCGATATTTCCTGCTTATTAGGCACACTGAGCAAATCCTTAGTTGGAAAAAAATCACTGCTTAAAACTATCTATATGGATAATATAAATATGAATTTAAAGTAAAATATACATATTTTAAGTGAAAATAAAATAAAGTGAAATACTGAAATGTTTCTCACTTTACTGTTTCCCACTGCTTGGAATTCATTTCGGGTAATTGTTATTCTGTTTTGTACTTTCTACACGTTCTTAAGTTACTTTCTATCAAAGTTACCGATTTTTATACATTCACTGAATGCCCAACACGTATATATTCGCTCTTCAGTTCCAAAATGAAATCTTAATTGTCCGGGTTAACTTTCATACATTTTTTAAATGTTTTCAAGACTTTTAAAATGCTCCAACTGAGGATTTCATTCTTTATTCTTATCACCTGTCTAGGAATGTAAGGAAAAATTAAACTCTGAAAATGAGTTAATCAATTAAGTAATTAATTAATTAATCAATTAATAATGAGCGGAATTTGTTCTCTCTTTTGAAAAAATAACCACAAATTTAAACTGCGCATGAGGTCTTTATGTTAGACTTCGTCAATAATTTCAACTTTAGTAGTAGCTGATACTCTAGTTTGTGTTGTGGTTAATTCTTGAAAAGAATGTAAGCTTCTATAAGCAACATTCTAATAACAGTGTATATCATTCCATTGAAAACTGAACGTAAGTTAATCATTGTCTAGAACATCGCTAATCGTTATTATTTTAAATCGCTCTATTGATAAAAGAAGCAATATCACGAATTATTAAAAACTGGATCATTGGATAATGCAATTTGAGAGTTTTCATTGGCTTACGCCATCATGGCTTATGAGCCATTATACCATGCTCTACAGATATGGTAAGCCTAAGCGTGATTTCTTGGGGCGTTTTTAGTTTTATTTTAGTTCAGTTTGCTATATTTTTGGGGGCGTTTTTAATAAAACAATTATTCCACTCGCGCTTGGTGATATGAGATGATTATACACCTATCTACCATCTCATATATCATCTACCATCTCATATCCAACGCTGAGCTCGTGGAATAATCGTTAAATATTACTGAAGATTCATTTTCCAGCTAACAAAAAACCCCTTCAAATCAGGTTGGCAAGGTCACAAAATATAATTCTCTCAGCTGGACAAAAACTCCAGCAAGACAACAGTATAAGATCAAGACGAAATACGAGCGATGAACTTGAAAATTTTAGTCTGCATCCGTCAAGGTACATTGGAGGTGACTAAGCTTATTTAACAGCAAGTAGTTTTAACTGAAAATCAATTGTTTGGCGGCTTCTCTCCTTGGTGATAAGTTTATTGATTATTATATTACATGTATGGCTAATAAATTATTTAATTAATGACTTGCCGGTCATTGCAAGAGTGTTAAATCACCAGCTCTAGTTACACCGACAAAACAGCAACAGTTTTTTTTCCACAGCTGGTTATAGGTAAATTTGAGACTGCAAACGGATGGCTTCCGGCTTGCAAATAGAGTAGGCTTTAGTTCAACCCAGTGCAAGTAGGTCTGTTGGATCGTTAAGCCTTAGTTAGAAGGCATTTTGAAGTCTTCATAGAGTTTTCCATTATAGGTTGCCAAGTTCACGCAGTTCTGAAAGGTAAAAAATATAACAATAATTAAACGAATTGTTGGATGAAGCAGTGCCCGTTTTGGACCTAACGCTTGGCTGTGCGCCTTTAACTCGGGGACAAAACTCGGACCCCAAAGGGTATGGTTTTCTAGCCGTTTTGGTCTTTTTGGTCATTTTCGTCTCAAATAGGGTATGGTTTTTGCCTTCTAGTCTTGAACTGGGTATGTTTTTTTAGAAAAAGCTATCCTACCTAATAAAAGCATATAGACGTTGCCTTTAACATTGGTCTGAACTAAGGAACTAAGGTATTGATTTAAGGGTCCGGTCTCAAATAGGGTATCGGAATTCTCGTCAGGTCATAAATAGGGTAGGCAAAATCGCAGATTTTGGTCTTAAATATGGTAAGAGATTTGGGAAACAGGCCGCACACACCCACCCAGTTTTTCTGGGAGTACCCCGGCGGGATAGAGGCGAAAAGTAGTTGCTTAAATTTCGGAGTTTGGACGTTTTTGTTTTAGCTTCTGTAGTTTCTGTACTCAAGTTTACGTTCCGTTGCTTGACTGTACCTGGATTTCCTTGTCTAGTTTATTTAAAGCCCTGTGTAGCTGTCTAAATGTTAATCTCTTATCTGGGTCTTCATGCCAACATGAGCGCATAACAGCATACCTGAAACAGAACATGCCCAACGTGATCAACTGAACACTAACAACGGGACAAGGTATGAACTTTAAACGGCTCGAGACAAAAACGAGTAAAGAGAACATGTCTTCGACTGTCTTTCTTTACGAGTTTTTCTTCTGAGTATTTTAAGCTTTATTCAATATTGAACCTGTCAAAGGCAAAAAGGTGGTGTTTTGGGTATTCTTCTTCACGAGGTTATTAGGTGTTTTTATTAAGGACCAAAACAAGTTGTGCTCTGTTCAGTATTGAACCTATCAAAGGCAATGAGGAGGTATTCTCGAGTGTCTTAACATTACGCATTCCAAGTAAGATATTTTGTTAGCAAAGAGGCACGAAACGAGGATGAATTTACCATTAAAAAAACTGTGGTCAGAAACGCGAATTATATTCATAGACGCAGTATCTATATAAAAGGTAAACACTCTAAAGTTACGAGCTCCTGGCCAAGTTCAAACACGCACGATAGACTTGACACAAAAGTGAAATGGGGTTTACTCACACTTCGTCACGTAAATGTCTCGGTTTTTCCATTCTGTAGCCACCTGCCAATTTTTCAATCAACTCTAGTACATCCATGCCAGGGTACGGAGAGCCACCTTATGAGAGGGGAATACAGTTATCTCTGTCAGTCAAGCTAGCGTTTGGAATCAGTCAGTAAGTCGATAAGTTAACGAGTCAATCATTCATTCAATCAATTATGCAATCAACCAATCACTCAATCGATCTGGCAGTCAATAATGAAAAAAATAAGTAGATAAGACAAATATTCTTGGGAACTTAGAATGAGCTAGTTAATTAAACATAATAAAAATGAAAATTACCTATAGTGAATATCTCAAACAGGAGCACTCCAAAGCTCCACCTGGTTATCAAAGACAATGGAAAATTAATATTAAAACGAAGTTCAATTACGGAATTCATGCTATCCGGACTAACTCGAGTTTAACACTCACACGTCGCTTTTTGTTGTGTATCGTCCGTGTAGCAAAGCCTCGATAGCTGTCCATTTTACTGGAAGGCGACCCTGAAAAAAAACAAAAAAAAAAACAAGCCACCAATCAGTCATTTTAGTAGAACTGTGGTACTAAATGTTATTAATCTACGCCTCCAGTCCTGCGCTTCCTGACTTCTTAGTGATCTGGTCAAGTCGGAAACGAGGTGTAGGTTAGGTAAAGCAGCAAACAAAGGTGTTGGGTAACTGCGCACGAGCTAAATAAGAAGTAGAACTAACTTATGTTATCACTTACACCAGAAGTTTTTTGGTACATGTCCTGTCCCTGAATGTCTCGCGCCATCCCAAAGTCTGTCACTTTACATGTCAGATTTTCACCCAGCAGGATATTTCTGGCTGCTAAGTCACGATGAATAACCTATAAATAATAAATATAAAAATAAAATGCATGATATTTGTGGTACGTTTTTCGATAGAGAATAAAACAATCAAAGAAAAAAGACTGTGGTAGCACTCCGGTTCTGTCGGTTACTAACTGTCAAGGCGCTCCCACTGCACCTTCTCTTCCAACCCCCTCCCCGGGCACCGGCCAACCTACCATTTCGGTTTAAGCGTTCCTCCAATTTGAAATAAATCCCTTCACCACAGAGTAAAAGCATGAGTTTAACTCATAAGAACAACTGCATTATAAGCGCATTCAAAAGCCTATATTTTACAACTGGCGGACTCCAAGCGCAGCTTACCTTCACAGAGCTCAAATATGCCATTCCATCGGCTATCTCCCATGCAAATCTCATCAGCTGTCGGGATGTCAGGTTCCTTTTGGGGAGATGTTCAATGTTGTAGTAGTTGTCTTTTAAGCCACGTTTCTTTCGCAAGAAACCTAGCAAGTCTCCATAAGGTGCAAATTCCGTAACTACACACAAGGGCTCTGAAAAAAAAAAGAAATTCCTTCATCGACTAAGATTCATATTAGAAACAAGACTCATTGTTTCTTAACGTTCTCGGCATGGTAGCTCATAGAGCATACGCTTTATCGCCAACATTCCAATTACAACAGGAAGGGAAATCTCAGAAAGGAAATCTCAGAAGCTAGTAAGTTGGAGTGGAGTACTTTAGAAATTTGGGCAGTAACAGGAAACATTTCTGATAAGTTGTTAAGCAACAAGAAAGCCATGACAGAGGAACAGGACAATTCGCGAATTTGTGACCCTTGCAATAAATAACGGTGTAAATTAACTCGGCTGGGTAGTCTCTGGGAGTAGAACAATATCGAAACTGACGAGCAAGGAACAAATAAATCGTGTATAAACTTTATGTAAACTGGAAGATAAACTAGACTGTACCCTATAAGTGCCACATGGATAGAGGGTGGATGTCTTTCTCCATACAAAAATCTAAGATTCAAAACTCTGCGATTTTAATTTGGCTGACACGCTGCCACTATGATGTAATTGCGGAATGATGGGCGGGCCATTGAAGAAATTTCATACCTGATTTAGTAATGCAAGCCAGCAGTTCCACCACGTGTTTATGTGGTGCCAGTTCTTTCATCACGTTAAGTTCTGATTGCAGGTCTTTGCGCTGAGATTCATTTGCACCATCTAAAAATAAAACAGTATTAGCAAAATTAAATTTCGGTAGGACGAAAAGAGTGCTTTGTAACATTAAAAAATTGCCAGTTTAAGATAACACTGTAAAATAGGTCTATTTTCTTGAAAATCGCCGTAAAAAATAACATATCAGTGTTTCCATTGGCTGTGAACAATCCCTCTATTTCTGCGAGAAAATCGTCTGGCCATCAACCGCCATCTTGGATTATTTTTGCGAAAGAAATCGGAAGAGGACGTTACTACTCAGGAAAGAGGTGATTAGTCTATGCTCACAGAGCGGAGTTTCAGGAATACAAGAAAACTTGACTTGCCTTTCAGTGTTTTCACCGCAACAACTGTCCATCCGCCATGTTTGCTGACGTTCAATGCGCAACCCTTTTTAACAAGTCCAAACTCGCCATTACCTATGGTTCTTTCGATTTTAAGCCTGTCCCGCGGGATTTCCCACTTGGGTGTCGGAGGAACTATGAATCTTGTATCTTTTACTGCAGGTGGTCTGTTGATTGGCGTATGCCCGTGTTTAAGATGTGAATAGTGGTTTTCAAACATTCCTAGTCCAGATTTCAACCCTCCATTTTCTTCTCCCAGTTTGTCAATAAAACTGGATTCTTTCGTGTATTTACAGAGTCCAGCAGGTTGTTCATATAGATGATCGTAGGCCGAAATTTTTCCTGGGCCATAGGGTTGTGTCCCTGGTGACCCAGATCCATGGCTTTTCACATCTTCGATTGATTGTCCGTGGTTATAATGAACCTCTAGGATTTCCGTTATAGTTTCGTATTCATTCTCAGCCTGCAAAGGAATCATTAAGGACAAAAAAAACTGTTATTGCAAATTAAATACTACTTATCCTATTATTGAAACAAGTAGTTAATTTTCCTCTTTGCGAATTGTTATCACAGTCTCCGAGGTTTTACATTTTGGACATTTTTATTTGTCGTAGTTGCCTTATCCTCCCTTTTTACCCTTGTGTTTCCACTCTGACAAAAAGCTTCTAGAATTATAATTTTCTGTAAGTTGAAGAAGTGCTTACCGTTCTTTCCTTTAGTTCCTCCATTGTAGAAAGCGAGGAACTGTTACCGAGTTCACTGTCTCTGTAAGGAGAGTAAAGACTGAATAAGCTCAAGGTCTAATAAGTACGCGAAGAAAATGTAGCACAACGTCAAACGAAAATATACTGGGTTACATTTTAGTGCTGAGTTAATTAGAAATCTCTTGGCGATGTGACACTAGGAATCTGAAATATGTTGTTCTTGTGGAAAATAATTTTCATGTTGTCTTTTTTTGTGATTTACGTTCAGTTAAAAGTGAAACAAAAAGAACTCGAGATACCTACTTGTCAGGTTGTGTCGATCTCTTACATCTGCATCCCCTTTTGCAACAGGAAGAACCGAAAACTGAAAGCATGAAGGACCATTATATGTTATTTTAATTACTATACAATTAGAAGCCATCATAATTTGGTTACAGAATTATGGCATTAGAGAGCGTTTTAGTCTCACACAGACCTACTCAATCACGAATCCCTTAAATCGTATGTTTACTGTTGCAGGTTTAAAAACGCTATTTAAACGGATAGCAAGATATGTAGATTAAATGTTGACCACCAACCCCCCCCCCCGAAAAAAAAAACCTAACCTAACCCTAAGAACCTACAACCTCCTAGACGAGGAATGCTTGCTCAACAAGACTTACTTTCCACAATTTATTAGTTTCTGTCAGATTTCCCCAACCTCAATTCAACGCTTAAAAGGAGCAACGTTTATCTATACCCGTATATACCTGGGTGGAGGGAAGCACGGAGGACTAAGTGTCTGGAAATTCCAAAACTAGATACATATCGTCACTTACATTTCTTAGTGGCTCTCCAAATCATGAACACGGTAGTTGGTACAGCAACCGCTAACATTACAATCCAGAGCGGAGTGAGGTACGAGAAACTGCTCTTTCTGCTTTCACTCTTGGAGCCTGAATCCTTTGTTGCGTCCTCTAAAGAAAACGAATCCGTGAAATTATAGTTAATCAAACGCTGACACAGACACATGGCTCTATAACAAAACTGACTCGGCAAGTTATTTGCTATAATCAGGATTACTGAATACTGATTGGCTTAAACGATAGCGTAGCTTTCATGTAAAACGAGAACAAAAACGTGACAAGTGCAAAGATGTAATACAAGCTCAAAGTAAAACAAATTGCAGTCATCCCACGAGCGAGAGGAAGTTGCTTTTTAAGTACAGTTGGAATTCGTTTTCCGTGTTTTTGGATTTAGCAAAGACCATTCGGAAACGGTGGCAATCTTAAGCGTCATGTAAGCGTCACATAACACCTACCTAGTGTTACAGACGGGAACTCTGTCAGAAACACTTCAGTACCCACTGTGGAAGTTGACTCTGCAAGAACAAAAATTATGTGAAAAATCTTGCCTATACTTTGCTAAAGCAGACAAGACTAAGTTCGAGTGTATATTGTTCTCGAGAATGCTGTAAAATGGATTTGTTAAGGAAAGCAATTAAACAAAATGTGAAAGTTTTATCGCAATATTTGATTGGACGGAAAACCTGTTGCTCAGCTCCAATCGTTTGAGTTGTTTCTGCCATGGCTGTCTTTTAAGTGCTTCTCGAAATAAAAACAGACCTACCTCGTGTGTAAGTAATAACAGGAGAGTACGTGACAACAGCGGAGTCCGTTGAAGTGACTGCAGTACTAGTCCCTACTGTTGTAGTTACTTCTACAAAGCAAAATGACAAACAATAAAGATGTTTGAGAAAGTACGGATTATAGTTCGTTACTTTGGTTTGAAATTTAAGCAGGGCTCTTTAATTTTCCAAATCGTCAAGACAGTTTGAATGCCGAGAATAAACAAATACAATCCAACTCAGTTCCTAATTCCTTCTTAATTGCTGAGTATTTCACTTTTGTTCTGTAGCATCAAAGATGCTAGTTTGCTTTGTGATTTGTCTGAAGCAGGAATGCGAGATCAGGGCCCATCCCTTTCAGACCCTGTTACGATAATTAGTTAAACAGACAGCTCAGTTACCTTGTGGAACTTGTCCAGTTGTAAAGTTTCTCTCCAATCCAGGAGAACTCTCTCCATATCTGTTCCATGCCGATACCGATACTGTGTAGTTTTGGGCCCATTCAAGTTCCTTAGTATAATGTGACTCCGTTGTATTCCAGGAATTCACCCTTTCCTTGTTGCGCGGGCCTCGCGTGGTTGTAGATACCCAGATGTAAACAGTGTACATCACGATAGGGCTTTTACCATTGTACGGCTTCAACCATTGCAGTGAGCATTGTTTTCCATCAACAGTGATGTTTGTCACAGAAGGAGCATCAGGTGGTCCTGTGGGGATAAAAGGAACAAAAAACTTAGGAACAATTTTTTCCCGAGCAGGTGGGCCAAAAAACAACGTTATAGACATATGTGTCCTCAAGTTGTGACTTAATTGGTTGATTCCCTATTATGATTAAAATTTTTGACCAAGGGAGCCTTTGCAGTAGAATATTATTATCTTACAAGATAATTGCTTGTTAGTAAGATCTCTGGCGAACACGATAACAGGTCTAGCTGAAAGTGATTTTCCACCGGTTTTGACCGTTTGAAGATGAGGAACGAAATTTCCAACCCGTAAATTTAATTGCAAAGTCGCTCCAAAAAGATAATAATCCGCGTACACAGGCACGCAAAAACTATCAATTTGGGATGATTGAAAATAAATAAATCAATAAATCAATAAATCAATAAAATCAAGCAGCACAAAGTTTCAGCTAAGTGAGTGATTAGTTGTACCTGCTAGAAGAGTTGTTGCACTGATGTTCGCGGATTTCCCGTAACCGACTTCATTTCTTGCTTGTATGATCACGATGTAAGTCCTGTTTCTTTTTAAATTCTCAATAACTAATGATGAAGAGGTTATCCTGTTGTATTGCCGAACCCGTTTGAGGGTAATATCATCGAACACTTTAATTCTATAGTCCAATATCCTGATGATGTTTTCTTGAACTGAAGAGCTCCAGGTTACGTTCAACGACAATACACTCGACACAACTGTCATATATGGCGGGTCGGGTGGATCTGTAAAGAAAACATGTATGAATGAGCACATAGCGATTTTCTACATGGCTGAGTGAATCTAGTTGACTGACTGACTGACTGACTGACTGTATGACTGACTGAATGAATGAATGACCTTCTGTCTGCCTGCCTGCTTGACTGACTGACTGTCTAACTGACTGATTGACTGCCTGCCCCTTGTCTACCTTCTTACCTGACTTATTGCCTGCCTCCTTGCCTGCCAGCCTGACGACTGACTGACTGTCTGTCTGTCCATTTGTCCGTCTGTATAAGTTAATGCTCAATCAACCTACCGATTCAACAACAGAGCTATCCTTTACCTGCTTCAAGTGTTGTAACACTGGCGTTTGCAGACTTTCCATAGCCAACAACGTTTCTCGCTTGCACAACAAATATGTACGTCCTGTTCTGCTGCACATTTTGAAGGGTAATCGACGTTGTTTTTATTCCTCTGTGTTGCTGAAGCACAGTTCTGTTCACATCAAGTAATGTTGTGTTGTAATCCAATATGCGGCTACCACCATTGTCAGGCGATGGACTCCACGTGACATTCAACGCCAATACGTTTGCCGTGAATGTCGCTATTACAGGTGGGCCGGGAGGATCTGAAATATGAAAAGGAAATCCTAATTATATAACGATCACTGAAAGCTTGCAATTTCATTAAACTGGCATATTTTACAGCTGATCACCATTCTTGCCATGTGCTTTGTTTTGTCTTCAGATATTGATGAATATTGAAAGACCCTTCCATTCGATCAGTTATTTCATTCTACTGCAAAAAAATAATACTCAAGTACTTACGAAGTTGCTCCATTGTTATGTGATACCATACTGTTCCTTTGCTGTTTGTAGCATTACACGAGTACAAGCCAAAGTCGTTCACAGTTTTAGGCGCCAGCGTCAACGTACTTATTTCATTCGTAGAGTTAACACCATCTAATATTACTTGGCCATCTTTAAACCAGGTGATTTTAGCCAGAGGATTTGCATTCACTGCGCACTTCATGGTCGTCACTTGGCCAATCCATGATTTAACAACAGCATTTGAAGAAGCGCTTTTATTGAAATGGGGTCTATCTAATAATAGGCAAAACGAAAAGTTGAATGAGTGGAGTAGCGTTACTATATTTAACATGTTTAATTTGATTGCATATCAAAGCGTATCCCGTACTCGTAACTGCGTCAACTGGAGGCCAAACGTTGCAAGAAAAAAAATGAAATGAAAAATATGAATTTGTACATTGATATCAAGACAGGACTTAACCAGTTGGGTATGTGTGGCAACGTTGCGTTTACTAGTTCTGAGACGAACGAGTCTAATATTCATAAACCTTCTATCAGCTGGGAAATTGATCTTTCGCCTAAGCGATATACTAGCCTCGATGCATGTCCAATATACACACCATGAATGATCGACTAACCTGATGTGAGATGGAAATCATAGTAACATTGGTAAAAGGGACGAAGAGAAGTTTTAAAGGTTAAACTAAGAATCTACACTGGGTAATCTAGACGGGACAAGGCAGTAGTACTTACATCGTATAACTCTCACCAAAATACTCTGAGAAACCGACCCAGCTCTGTTTTTGGCAGTGCAAACATAGGTACCAGCAGTTCTCAGCTCGATGTTTGTGAGAAAATAGCTCTTCGTTGTGTTGCTCTGTTGTAATATTTGACCATCTTTCTTCCACGTCACCAAAGGTATAGGGTCACCATTTGCGTCACAACGTAAAGGTACATCATGATCTCCTTCCTCAACATCTAGAGTCCGATTTCGTCCATTGTTTATGGTTGGTCGTTCTAAATAATTAAAATTGGAGTAAATGTCCCTTAAATGCCTAAACAGACAGTCACGATTTTCTCCCAATGAAGGAGCAATGAAATGGCTCTTAAAAGGCCCTCAATGAATGGCCCCCTCAAACGTGCTATGGGAAAAAATCGTATAATGATAAAAATGACAGTCCCATTTGATCCATCTGTTATGGTTGGGATAAATATCCGAGCAAACGGTTATATATTTTCTTCCTGTTGATTGAAGGAGTGTTGAATGGTACCCTAAATTGTACTATTGGAAAGAGATGCAAATCATGAAAAACTATTTGATTTCGATTACTTTAAACTATTAATTAATTGTGATTGATTAAAGTTCTTCAGATGTACGAAAAACTATCTGATCTGGGGATACAACAATATAGAAAACTTTTCCTTTTCTCGTTTGTTTAGGCGTCTCTCGGCTGGTATAGTCCTTTTAAATGCGAGAGAAACAGTTTATCTGATCTGTACGCTTTCTCTACCCAGCATGGCCACTCATGTTCATTTTTTGTTGTTGTTTAGTTCAACACTTTTATTCTTAATGCCCTGTCATTTTGAGACTTCCTTTAGTTAAATGCTAAATTCAAACATTGCGAAAAAGTTAGTTCATACATCAAGTCATGCACACTTACCTGTAACGACCAGATTTATCGGACCATCTTTGACAGGCTCGCCAGCAAGGTCAGTCGTGCAACCATATGTAGTTTGGTCCGACTTAGACACATTTTTTAAGATGAACTCTATTTGACATCCCTGTTGCTGAGAGATATTTCCATTCCACTTAGCTCTGGATCTTATTGAATAGTCAAGTGCGGAATTGAAAAAAACACCTCCATCTTTGATAACTGTGATGTATTTTGTCCTCATATAACTGTAACTGTTGTCTGTTTTGCCCCAAATGATCTGGAAAAATTTACCCCAATCTTTGGAATCACCAAACGTGAACTCCCACTTAAACCTGGCGGTAGAGCCTAATGGCACATACAACGGGTTTGGAGGTGTCTTTGTAAATTTTGTTCCAGGACTCTCTGAAAAAAAGGATAGCTAGTTATATTAACGTGTTGTGCTCCTAAATCCTTGCATCCTCTTAACACGTAATGAAAGGACCAGTTCAAGAATTTGTCCCTTAATGTTTGGGAAGCCTATCTACCCAGCTACCTTTTCGATCTCGCTTAGCCCGTTTACAGATCTGTCCAATGGCAATTTCTATGGGTCCTCCTGACCTCTAGCTGTCTCCAGACGGTGTGTGTATATAAATATATATATACGTAAGTTTATTCTAAAGTACAGTTAACGTAGCACATATCAAAGTTTGTAAATTTAGCGCGAGCACTCGGTGCGACTTAGGTTTTGCAAGCGCGCGTGCTGTTCATTTCAACCGTTTTCATCACGCGAGCATATTATATATATATTTAAGCAATAGACCACAAGTTTTCATGGTTTATAGGCTGATAAACCACGCGGGATGTTGGAAGAACACGACAAGAATTCGTAACTCACGAGCCGCAGCGATTTACGAATTCTTCGAGTGTTCTTCCAACATCCCAAGTGATTTATCATGCCTCTAAACCATAAAAACTTGTGGTCTATTGCTTTTATATAATAATTCAGAAGACACGCGAAATTTCCACGAGTTTACTGGCACAATAAACCATAGCTGATTGACCAATCAGAGAGAGCGCATTCATTTAATTATTATATAAATATATATATCTTTCATCTCAACTCAAACTTGTTTGCAATTCAAATCTATTTGCACACAGCCGCTTGCATAAATTGCTTCAAGAAATCTTTCACAATCGTGCGTGTTTAATAGTGAGACATAAGGAGTATTGATGCATAATTTACTTAGAATGTTTGTTTTTGGAAAGAAGGCAAGTGAAATGGTCGTCATTCACCTATTGAGGTAATTAGTTATGTTAAAATCAATGCAACTTACTGCCGTTGGTGAGGCTGAATTGTAGAAAATACCAGGACGCAAAGAGTGTGGCTACTTGAAGAAGAGCCATCTTGCTTTCAGCGTCTTGATGCCAAACACAACTAGATTCTGTAAACAGCAATCGAAACAAATTCACATAAGTATATGTCCACGTTTTCGAAATAGTCTTTCTTTTCCTGTTCTTTTTTGGGTCATCCCGCTACCCATGATGTCCTGTTACCTGACAAAATATCCTAATGATCTCTCATGTTAAAGGAACGACATCAAGGGGACCAGTTGCTGCATGTCTAGTCAAAAACGTGCTAAAATGATGATCAAGGTTTTTCGCTCAAGCACGTACGAAAGCTAATAGCTAATAGCACCAAGCTAAATTGAAGAATAGTCATAACGTTTTGGAGATTTTCCCAACACGCAAGGGCAAAATTTGAACTGTTTAATTCAAGATCCTCTACTTTAATAGCTTCAGTGCTGTGGTATGGTAGTTTTATTAAAATTTTTAAAAAACATTTGACCATTATTTTATTGAAGTTTTCTTTGATGTAATGATGTTTTCTGGCTTTTGCCTTTTAGAAATCATGTTCATGACATAGCCCCCTTAATTACCAGGATGATGGTCTGATCCTTATGGTGAGTACGCCGCTTGATTTGTACGCGGATAATTGTAAGTTACAAAAGAGTCCCTAGTTTCATCCTTACATCGCTGAGTGACAGAGCGGTAAAAAAAAGAGAGGGTGCTGAAATATAGAAAATTCGTTACGATAATGACAAACATTAGGATGAGCCAGTTCACGATATATTTAGAAAATGGCCTATTGGGGTCCACGTAGCTTGGGAAAGATCTCGTGATTTTATTGACTGTTGCCATAGTACAAACTCCAGTGTATCAAAAGAAAGTCGAGATATGTGAAAAGGGATTCAATTGGCTCACGAGTCCTTAGAACCTGAGAGATAAGTACAGTTATAAACAAGTGCCAATGAAACAAGCGCTCTCATTGGTTTGAGAGGCTTGCATTATGAGAGTACAAACTCGTGACACCGTTCGCACGTGAAGCTTTAGATTGTTACCGAATTCACTCCTCTCGCGAACAAAAAGAAAATTCACGAATACAATTGGAAAGACAAACGTTAATGCAATCACGCACGACCCTTGAGGCCGTCATACTCTGCGGCCAAAACAACCTAAGAGTTATAATGGTGTGTGGCCAATTTCTCAGAAAAAAAAAGTAACGCTTAATTATAAAACAATAACAAAAAAAAGCTTGGCCGTGCTTTGCTCTATTATAAAGTACTCGAGGAAGTGTCAAATGCACTTAGGAAGTAAAGAGAAGCACACGCGTCCGGCTCGTGTCTCACCAATCCTCTTGTACTCTCGTCGCTTCCTTGCGCGTGCAGGATAAGGCACGTGTAGCCTTATATTATGTGTAAAATTTTGTCATTTTGATCCAGAGTAGTAGTCATAGTGATCAGCAGGTTGTCTATCGCAGGCAATGGACAGGCTAGCTTCAACTTTTGAAAAAAAAAAGTCCACAGGCAAGCTTAAAAAATGAAAAAAAACAACACCGACGATAGGAATAAAAGCGTCGTCCATTACCGATGAGCGATACTAACCCTAATAAGAAAGAATCATCGGCAGAAAATTAAATGAATTAATCAATAAATAGACGCTTTATGTTCAAAGGGTGACGTGTGTGATTTCAGCGCGTGTGTAATTTTTTTCTTTTTTTTTAAAAAAAAAAATGAAAGCCAGGTTGACGAAGTTTAATCGTAAGTACTGTGGAACCAGTTAGATTTTGGTTTTACTTTGTTCATCTTCTCTAGTTGTTTAGCGTGCGAATACGGCCGCCTCTCAGGGCCAGTTGTAGGCTCGGTTTCTGCCGCTCTCTCGCGTCCGGTCACTTTGCTCCTCCCCGTGAAGAACGGCTGGAGAGGGCGAGCCTAGGCCAGCTGTATTCTCAGGATACTGCTTTTGTCAGTTTGATTTGTTCGCAGATTCTCCTTCATTGGATTGGGCAATCCATTAACAAATAGATTTTGTCGGTATTACATGTGTTCAAATTCATCAAATGTTAACCACTGGCAAGCCGGCCTTTGGCAAATGATCGATCCTTATCATAGCCATTCAAATAAAGAGTGAACACGTACGTTAAAATTTGGCGAGGTGACTACATTTTACTCTAGATACAACTAAAGAACAATAAAATAGAGCTACTGTACCCTCGGTGATAACTCAAGTCTTCTACGCCTGTTCACCCTGTTCAGCTCCGCACCCCGGCAATGTTTCACTCGCTCTGTGCAGCCCAGCACCGATATTTAAATGAGTCTTATAGAGTCATAGTCTGGGAAACGAACTTTGTTCGACTGATCACACATATGCCAAAATTGCGTGTATGGATGAGCTAATCTCACAACTGACAAACTTACTGACAATCTTACTGACATCTTACTGTTGAAGCAAAAACGGTCTTATACAGTCTGGTCACCCAAATTCTGACAGTTAAACGGAAATAATGGCCCAATGATAAATGACAGAATACCCCCAAAATATGAAAATAGAGAATTATCTACGATTTATAAAAAAAAACTATATAGGAAAATAGAACAACAGAAATTGCTTAAGGAAGCGCCACCGAATCTTGTGTATTCCGTTTTTGGTTTTTCGCTTGTTCGAACATCACACGCGGGCAGAAAGGGAGGATAAATTGAAATGAATAGGTCACGCCTTTTTGGCTAACATTTACATTAACGGACTGCAGAGAGCTCAGGTACACCAAAGTGGCGCATGTGCGTTTTTCATGAAGAAAACAACGTTTCGGTTAATACCGTATATTGTGTGCTAATCTGCAAAACGTTTAGTTCGTAAGTAACTGGGCCATTTGGCCATTTGAAGCCACATATGGCTAACTTACTGGTGAATTTACCAATAAGATATAAGGCCTTAAGTGCATATGGTGCTAAACACCAAGCCATTTGAACCAGATAACCAATGTTTTACATTAATGCAGCCGAAAATTGTGCTGCTGCATGTGCAGGAGTTGTTTTCTTACCTAAACTAGGGTTCGAAGCGAAAAAGTGGTTGGTCGGAATTTGCTCTTGTGTAAATAAGATTTAGGCTGCATTATGAAGCGATAGGAGACTTAACTTGGACTTAAAAGTTAATACGAAATCTGAAGAGATGAAAATTTACTGCCTGCTGGGTGAAAACAACTCATCACTAGATGTTTGATACTAAGCATAGAAAGTCCGTCAAGTTTAATAACAATCCGGACTCAGATAAAATACAAGTCTCTTGACTTGTTACTGATATTCAACCGTACGGCGCAATCCGATAATCATTTGCCCGTGAACTACTGTAGTCAAAGTTCGTCAGGACGCAAAATTAATCCTAATTTTCTGGGAGAGTTTTTGGTTCACGTGTAAAACATGTAGGAAAATTAAGGTGATCGGCTTAATACGGCAAAATGTAGACAGACTGATTCAATGCAACCACTCAATCACATCGCTTTTGATTAAAAACACAACTGAACATGTTACGGAAACAACTGAGCAAAATGTTACCATAGAATGAATAAATATATAAATTATTGTAGCAACAACAATATATTGGCAAAACTGCTATGTATTATGAATTGAAACCTATATATGCATATGTCCTCTGGTTTACGTGCATTCTCTAAATTTTTTGAAAGGTACAAGGGCTCGCGCAAGCCACTCGAGCACGTTATCAATTGTGTGGTTCTAGAGCTCCACGCACGCAAACGTGTAAGATAGTCCCCGGACGATAAATGTTCTGTCGTAAGTCTTTCTAACAACCAAAACCCCCACAGAGCTGCAACAAAAGCGCAAAATTTATATATCCCGGTGTTCGTATGTTATAGTTTAAACCACATGACAGACCGTTGTCACGTGGCTCTCAGGTGCTGAACGCGACCGTATCAAATGATAGGCAGTTATCACGCTATGGGCTAATAGCACTGATTTACGTCACAATAAGGCACACGTGAACACAAAAGATCTTTCGTTTAAGGTAGGCATGACCATTTGCACTAGGCCGACAAACAGCTACTAGCTCTTCCAAAGTCTCGCCATATCTTGTCTCCACCAAATTCTGTTCGAACTGCCAAAAAACGTGGTCTACTTACAAACCAGCATTTATTTTTTGCCCAAAAATGTCAATCACAAAAGAAATTGAACACCTCTTCGCGGAAAAATGCCAACTCAAATGATGTTTTGCTTTAAGATGAATTGAAAGATCTGTCAGTTTTGACAATTGGCAAAAATTGCTCAGATCAGACTGAGAATCTTCGTTCGTTCAATGGAGGTGATGACAGCCTAACATTTTGTCGCGTGGACCGCCCTGATGAATTTTTTAAAACATCTTCCGCCTTCATTTCCACCGATAATTGAAAAGTAACATGCCAAGAAAAATGGATAATACCTTATGAAAAGAAAAGGTTAAAATACGAAAGAAGTAAAGAATTACAATCAAAGTAAGAGAACGTCACATGAAACAGCCGATACATCTTTGAAATTACCAGCTCTTGAGCGACGCGTGATGTCTATTATTTTTCTTCAGTATTGCTGTAGACCTCTCTAACGCCCTCTTGGCTTAAAACAAGACGAGTTTTTTAAGAGGCAATGTCACGATATCTCAATCACTTCTCTCTTCACTTTTACATTGAAGGGAAATTATCAATAATATTTTTCTAAGGTGGAAGAACACCAAAGAAGTACAAAAATATAAATAAATAAACAAGGATATGGCTTCGACTGAGAAACCTTAAAGGAGCAGTTACATAAGTGTTACTGCGAAAAGTCACAACCTAGACAACCTAAAAGACATGATTGCATAGATTGAAACCTTAATATAATGCTTATAAGTTTCGTTAGAAATTACATTGAAAGTGCACTGAAGTTATAAAAAGAGGGCTACAAGGGACGGTTGTGATGTCAAATTAAAAACGTCTGGGAAGGGGTTTCAAATTTTGTTGTCGTTTCTTGGAAAATCGCTTGATTAAACCAATTCCAATTTGTTCTCTTGTTATTAAGTCCGTGAATATCTTCATCTTGATGATCTCGGTGCAGTCTAGAAACATTTGGAGTACAAGCGAAGGCACTCTGTCATAATTTTACCGCTTCTGTAATCACTGATGTAGCAAATTGCCATGAACGTGTCCTTTTAAGACGGATTTCGACAAACTCGACAAATTTGGCCAATTTTTTCCTTTTTTTAAGGTGTGAGTTTCATGACGCAGCTCCTTTAATGTGCTTCAGTTCTGCCAAACAGTACGGATGCCACTGAGCCTGAAAGCTATCCTGTGACGTACTAACACGCCACCTATGGATTAGCAACACATCTAGTCGCTTCATGCAAAAAAAGGCACCGGCAGTGGTAAGACATCTGGCTCCGTCATATCGTTCGGATTGTCAGAATGAACTTAGCGTGTGAGCAGTATGTGAGCAATATTGGCATGGTACAAATCACTGTAAAACGTTGGCCATTGGCTTTTGGTAACTTCCTTAAAGCTCTTTCAGCGGGTAGATCGAGCACAAAAGACAAAAAGTTTGAATTTATAACTAAGCAAATGATTCTTTAATTTGTTGAGTAAACATCCGAGTGTTAGTTATCAAAAGATGCCCCGTCATACATTGCATGCCGCGTTGACTAAGTATCTTTGTTCAGTCGCACGCAACACGCATAGAATGTGGATTTATCACGTAGAAACGTATTGTTGAACCTCAGAGTATTTATTTCAGAATGGTCAAAAATATCAAATCAACAAATAATTTCATGGGCTTTATGATCAACAAGAATAATTATCGTTTCAAATGAAGAGTTGAAAAAGCACTCAAAAATTGGATTGATCAAAGGACTTCATGCTTTCATAGTTTTTCGTTTTTTGTTGTTCCTGTTGATTTTGCTTGTTTTTGTCGACGGCAAATCAGTGAGCGAAGTTGTTGTATAAAAGAGTCTGTAGTGAATTCCAGCTTGTTGTAAAAGGAAAACCCTTGCTCTTAGGGAAGGTTTTGTGGAAATATGAACTGTGATTTCTATATCATCAAACTCGACTGTTGTACAAGAGTTCGTAATAGTCGTTTTGCTTTATTTAACCGTAAAGTTGTAACAGTAAATGAACTAGTCTTTGCCGTTTGTTATTCAATTGACGTGATCACAAATGTTTAAAGCGTGATTGTATCCCAAAATTTTTGCCGCTTAACTGCACAGCAACCCGTTCAATTATCGGATTAAATCAGTTTCATCCCAGCATGATGCAGCTAAATTCCCATGAAGGGGTATTGGTTTTGCAGTGCGCGATTTTACCACAATAATCCAAATTATCGAGATAGACACGTGCCAAAAATATATATCTGCTGCATCACCTTGAAACACCGAAGATAGTGAAAGAAAATTTGTATGCAGATTAACATGTAGAACACAACACCCAAAACTAACATATTAGTTACCAATTATTAAATTAACACGCAATTGTTTTAGACAATAACGATAATAGAATGCAAGAAAAGCAAACAAACCTATTCAAAGACTAAAAGTAACTGAACACATGATTAATAAGTGGTCTTCTGTAGAGTGCTTTTGATACGCAAAGACTGCACGTAAAAAGCCCTTAGCATTGCTTGGTTTGTCAGTTAATACCCTTTCGTGGACAACACCGTGAAGGAGTATGCAGTTTACCCCTGAAGGAATTTGCCTGCCACACTGATGCTCTGTACTTACGGCTCAGCTTTCGTTCCCCTCTTTTGTCTTGATACACAATAATTACATATACTTAGGCAATTCTACGGGGTCGTGATCTTCTGTTTTGTTACGCTTTGTCCACGTCACCTAATGGAAGGATTAACGTCAAATCTGAGGGGTCAAAATACGTAGGAGATACCCTGACGGGTTAAATGGAAAATGAGCATTGTAGAACGCACTCAGCACTCCTTATTTTCCATGGCAACCGTGTTTTGACTTCTCAGACGCCAACACGTAACAAATTATAGAATTAGACGACCCCTTAGCTAATAACACGTTCTTTAGGGAATGTAAAATACATTTCTCTTGATACACTAGGTTCACTGATAGGGCTTTACACATTATGTTCAGATTTTTCACTATTATGCTAATGCTCGATGCTCAAAAAGTCCCACTATCATGCTCAAGAGGAGTCACTTTTATGCTCCACTATGCAAACATCAAAAAGATAATATCTTCACTTAAATTATTGAGGCGTGAGCGCTTCAGTGTAATTCTCCATTGCTCTGGCTTGACTATTACGAAATGAGTTTTCTAGTAATGAGAATAACTTGCTCTGGTGCAGCAGAAGAGGGTTGAATTAGCAAAATGTTCTTGCTTGCTGAAGCCCAATTTGGAAGCTATCTTTCATGTTGAGACCACCAAGTAGTAACAGATTACTCTCAGCTTGCCGAAGACCCAGATCATCAGCCTCCTTAGTCTTGTCACTATTATTCCGACATAATTCTCAATTCTTTTACCTCACTTTTATGCTCAAAATAATGCCGGCGTTATATGCAAAATCCTAAATGTATTTTCCTGCAATTAGGTTATTTCGAGCCGGTGTACTCTTTCCAATTATTGGTGTCTAATTATGTCCTTTTTGTAGCTAAAATGTTTTCAGAAATTCAAACGAACATTCTTCTCTTTTGCTGCTTCGACTAAACGTTATTCCATAATCATCATGTTTAGAACGAGATGTAACCAGATCGCGGCGCATTGAATCACTTTGGTGGAGTCTTGGTTTTGCACGGTAGTTTCATTACGGAAATAAAAACAAGAAATTCACAACATGGTGTAATTTACGCCGAATGGATTAAAACAATATTCCAGCAATGAAACGTAGAACACAAAACACAGCAAGGTTTCACATATAATTGGACCATTGTGATATTAACTCGCTGTTCCTTTGGTCAACATCCGTGAATTCGATTGTAGCGTGAACTGACAGTTCTAGTAAGAATGTCACATGATTAATTAGAATTTCCTGGTGATTTGACAATCGCAGACCTTATGTTGAAAGGGCTGAAACATCGCTTAGCCGGTTCAAACTTCCGACTTTAACACAAATACTAAACTACAGTGCCTAACATCATTAATCCTCTCTTATTTCTGCATTTTTTTTGTCTCAGTTATAAGAATCTTATTGTAAGATTCTTATACATTTGTAAAAATATGAAAATATCGAGGATGAAATAGTAAGTGACACTTATATATGAATTGTATACCCAAGGCAGAGATTTTGTTAAGAATTTGTTTGCGCATTGATGAACAAATAGAACACAATTAAGTCACATAACGTTTTTAAATAAACTTTATTTTACCCTTGCAAAAGAGCTAACGCAACAGTACAAACGTAAGCACGTTTAAGTTGAATCGATAAAGCAAGGGCACAATAGATAAATAACATCAAAGAGTTCTATTTGACAAGTCAATCATATTCCTGCTACGTTTTACCTAACTTGAATAAACGTACAATCGGCTCCGCAGTCTACGAATGTACACAGAATATTTTGAGCTGTAGGTCGAAAGTAATATAAGACTATTCAGCCTGGGCATGTTAAGAAAATATCATTCTTTTATAAACAAGTGAACAAGGCGCTATTGAGTTTGCTCGAAGAAAACGAAAACGATACGTCTAATTGTTTAAGGGAGAAGTATATAAGAAACTGCGATCCAAAAACCTACGTTTTATATATTTCAAGCCAAAAATCAAGTGTTATTCAAGTTTACCCAATCATGGGCAAGCACGAGCTATGAATAGAATAGACAATAATGAGACAACTTCCTGTTGCCGGGATGTTTTGCATTTCTCACGTCAGATTATTATGCTAGCGTGCAAGTATTTCTGGTGTTTGGCGGGTTTAGTTCGCAAGGTCAAAAGTAAAATGTCAAGAGTTTTAAAGTAAACAAAAGAGCGCTGTGCGAGTAACAGCGTATATCCGACTTTCTTTAACTTTTTTTCGAGCAACTCCTCTTTCTACAAATTTATAAGGTCAAAGTCAACTTTGTTTTGCTCAAAAAAGGTTACCTGATTCAAAACGTGACAGTTGCCACGCGATTCGCGTTATAATTACAGTCTAGTAATATCGATTTCAAGGTCAATCGATAAATCATCATATATAAAAAGTTTGCTGTTCGGTTTATCATATTTCCAACAGTATTTTCATCTGTGACCTGAAAGGTGATTAAGCGTAACGTCTGAAAATTACGCTCGTTTTTAAACGATTATTCGAACTTTATGGCGCCCTCGATTCCAACTCAGATGGGCGTCTTTGTATTTGAAGACTCTTACATTCTCGCTAAAGCCAGGTAATTATTCTTTGCCTGAAATGTCAGCCGTCCGGCTCCCGCCGTGTGGGTGGCGACTGACAATTCAAGCTAATATTTTTTTAAAAGCCATCTAAAAACTCGCAGGTTATTTTTGGTGCCACATAAGTTAGATTGAATGCCTCTTATTGTTCATTTAACGCGTTTCTTGACTGAAGTCATCGGTGGTCGCGAGCTAGCAATACGATAGCGAGTGTTTTTATTCGTGTGCCGTGTGTTTTCAGAACATAGTGGCTTTGTGATCATATCGTTGAGACTTGACACGGTGGAATTTCAGAGGCGGCGAAACGCCTGTTATCCATGTTTAATGACGTTCACTAGGCGTGGAATGCAATTTTTTTTTTCAAATCTGGCAGAAATCAATTCAAAAGGCGCTTTCTTATGGTAATGAGGCAAATGACCTTTTTTAAAAAAATGTTACAAGGTTAGGTCTAAAACGCATATTACAAAGGGAATGTAAGAAATCGGAAGCATGCATTCTTTCTTTGATCTCTTCTTTAAAAAAAAGTTAACCTACTGTATAAATGTTATTAACAGAAAAAGAGTTGACCAATGGCCAACCTGTTGTTCGCTTTTTACTCTCCAGCAACAAGTGCTATGACAGGAGCTGACCTAAACTGCAGCACAATATTCCTTTGACAGTCCCAAACGCCAAAACTGTCAGTCAGTGCAAAGTCGTCCATCCATCAAATATGGGAGAACTGTGCTTTTCTGTACCGCTCATGTGCCTATGAAGCTGCAGAAATGGCAATGCTGCCAAATGAAGCAAGGTATCACGTGACATACCACATGACTTTTAGCAGAAAGCAACATTTCATGGACTGCTGGCGATTTTTCAGTAGAATCATCAAACATCTGCTTAAACATAATTTTGCTCTAGAGAATTCCTGACCCTGGCCTTTAAGAGCGCTCGAGGGCTTGAGTGATGTTTGTAGACTGTTCAGTCCGCAGTGTCACATTGAGAGTTTGGCTGAGATCCCAGCATGGCATAAAATGACGATTCGCCGCAACGTCTGACTGTGTTTGCGTTAGTTTCAGTAGTACAGTTCTTCTGTGTATTTTGTTTTGTTTTTTTTTTCTTTTGTCTTAATCACAACTCCCTCGCACCCTCCCTCTCTCCACAGTACATATCCTGGGTCGTAATCTTAATCAGCAGAGACATGGAGGTCGGTTTAGTTACCTTGATTTGCTTTCTTTTTCATTCCGGTAATTGTTTATAAGCTTTTCGGTTCTAACCAAATTAAACAAGCTCTGTTTTTCTTGTAATCAATTTAAGAGAACATCATGTCCCTCGTACCCCGCCATATTCGCTTTTGGTCTTTCCTTTTAGTTCAGAACTTAGCAAGGTAACCTTATCATGTTATATCTGATTGATCTGCTTTTGAAGTGACAAATACGAAGATATGTTGAGGATCTTTCGCAAGTCAAACGTTTTTTTGCTTCAATTCAAGACGTTTTTGACTGCCGATAGACAAATCAAAGGAGCATATGAATTAGGCACTGTAAAATTCGACACGTCGAATTGAAGCCTTCCGGGCTCACATGACTGTGAACTGGTCGATAGCCAGCTTTTGCGCAAGGAATTCTTCGGGGAATGCAGATTATTTACATCGCGGCTTCATTACGGACAGAAAGATAACAAAACCTTACTGTATCGCTGCACTCATTGTTTCTACAATCTCCTGCATGTGAACAACGATGCCGGGGATCTATCGTCCCCGGCAAAGCCTTCGTCACACCTCCGGAAATAAGGGCGCCACATTACAACAACTTACTCCGAGACAGAATGAATTCGAACCGCGGGAACACTTTGTTTTGACGAAAAGGATAAAATTGCTAGGAAATTATTCATTAATTTTGAAACAGAAAAAGTCTCAGCTTTTGAAAAGCTACTATGTGTTACCAGTTTAACTATAGACGCAAGAATCTTAAAACCCCTCACCTGTTCGAGAAATTTCCTTGTTCCGAAAGCTCGTGTAAATGGAGCCGCGGCAGTCGATATGCTTTCTATCAACAAATGTTTTTCTTTACCAAAACCCACAAATGATCAGAAGCGCAACACTTGTTACCAGATCCTTTTTGAAGCGTCAAGAAGCTCCCAGCGTACCAGTTTATTTCTTATAGCGACAATTGCCAAAATGATCGTGATCAAAATTAGAGAGCGTGTTGTTGCTGTTGCGTGCTGATGTCGTCTTGGTGGGAGTTGTTGGGGGTTGGGACATATCGCATTTCCCTTGCACTTTCAAGATAAACCTGTTAAACAGCATTGTAAAGGAAAATAAACAACCTTTGCAGCGATTGGACGGATCAGTTTACACGGCGGTTTAAGTTACGCAACTCATACCCTTATGTGCTAAAATTTCCTTGTGTATTTTCCATTCTTTAGAGGCAATCAAGCGTGGCAATGTTTTGGAAGCCTCGTGTCTGTCCAATCGAAATTCTGCCGACTATTTTTATTAAAACTCAGCAACCTAGGTAAGCTCGTCAAAATATACCAAGTTTGTCAATGGCCTCAGCCAAATAAACAACAAATTACGACATAAAATGGAACCCCTTCCTGCTAGACTCAAACGCTTTCAGATTTCTCATTTTTGTGACGGTGTTATTCGCATTCCTGACGTTTCAAATTTGCCGAACAACTCCCAGCCATCCCGATATAGGCCTACTATTCTATAACAGAAATTCTTTAAGTGTAGAGCTAACTGCATGAGTTATCTTATTTCTATGATTTTGAAACTCTCAATATTGTACCATCCGCATATCCCTGATCATGGATAAAGGTAAATTATATTGACCTCCATTGCCAAACGTTCGATTTATTGTATATTGGTCAGAGCAGCTTTTTTGGATGGGGGGTGGAATTGCCAAAAATCAATGCATCTATCCCGACGAACATTTTGCCCTAGGCAGCACTGAAACAAACTGTCCCAAACAAGTATCGAAGCCACTAGATGCAGTGAAATACTACAGCAAAAACGGAAATGACCAAGCGAAATTCTTGGACACGTAAACTTGTCGGGCATTATCTGCAAGGGAAGTTCAGCAGGTTGTCATGGCAATTACTTTTCAAAGAGTTAATTAACCAAACACAGGCGTTTCTTGAGAGAGCGGGGTAAAGAATGTCTACGTTAGAGAAGTCTTTCTCAGGTGACTGCTAATAAAGCTACTCCTGCGCGATGTCCCGTATTTAACTAAACAATTTGATTGGTTTTCTAAAAAAAAATTCAGCCACTTGATGCAATGAAAGACTAAATAAAAAGCGGAAATGATAAAACAAAATGTCGTGTTATCGGGAGCCCTGATGTTATCTTAGTGAAAGCTTCTTTACTTATTCGGTGGATTTTCAGATTTATAAGTTAAGCATTTCCTCCTTTCCAGTTTTGTAACCATGTCAGTCAGAGCTTGATATCGTCTCTGCCAATATAGAGATGACGTTAACTTTTGTTTACTGTCCAACTATTTGCTTGTTTTTCGCACAGTTCCGGGCATGACAGGTTTTGCCCGGTTATCCCACGCTAATACAGTACTTATTTATTCCCCTGGGTGGGCAAATGGCCGGATGAGTGCCCTGTCCCAGAATGCACCACGAGGAAAATGATGCAGGCTTCGATCACGCAACTTCTTAAACATTAATTGCCGGTTGATGCAGTGAGCCAAAGATTTGACAGTTGTTGGCAAGGAAAGATATTTAATTAATTACGGAGTATTCCACTCCGCTCGGAGTTTTTTCATTCAACTCGGCAGCTTGTCCATAAACCACGTCTTCTCTTTTAATCCAATTGTTCTTTCCCAGTTGTACATGTAAATTGACTAATGCGCTTATTCGCCCGACCAAATACTGCAACTTGTTGCCCTGATTAAACGACAAAACCACTGATTAGTCTGGCGAGTTATTTTAACCTCATGAAGTGTTATTTTCTTTTGACTCTGGGCCATTAGGGATTTCGTCTCGTTGTTCCGTCTCCTTGTTGCGTGTATTTGTTTACGCATCGTTTGCCGAGTGTGGTTAACCTAGGTATTCCGTGTTCTTAAGCTCTGGATGGGAGTCTATCAAAAGGTCAAATAACCAAGTAGGGGACGAGGAAGTGCAGCCTTAATTTATTATTATTATGGTGAAATTGTTTAAGTAAGTACTATATCGTGTAGTCAAGGAATTAACAAATGTCTGATTGATTAAATTATATTCGTCGCTGTTTTGAACCCTTTAAACTCTGCCAATGAGATTGCAGCGTAATATTTAGGAACGGTAGAGCATTACGAAAATGCCGCAAGTCTTGTTATGAACATAGGGAGCTGGGATGCTATCGGTTTTATTTTTATTTCAGGTTATGACGAAAAAGCTTTTCCGGATTAGAGAGCTTATGGATTATGGTTCTCAAAAATTGGAGATCCGGTCAAATACCGGCAAATATTTCATTAACATTAGTAAATAAATGCAGTATTCTTGCTAGCAAGGGAAGCCTTCACTTCTAGGCGCAAAAATATACATTTTCGCAGTCGATAAATATATAGCAAGCTACAGTCCAATTTCTTATTAATGGTCTAAAAGGTGCAATTTAAAAAACAAATCAAATGAAAAAAAAAAAAGGTTTTGTTTTTTTCAACAAGATTAGTGATTTTTTTTTCCCTGTACACTGTACACCTATAAACCTGTGCACCTTCTACTAAATAAATCGAAGCCAAAACAAAATTGCTGAATTCAGTAACTCTTTTCGCTTTCCTCGTCCTCCCCTCCCCTCCCCCTCAACTTTCCCACGCCCTTTTTCGTCTGAAACGCTAGCATAAATTCCTGTGTCTGATATCCTATCCACCGAGGTTCTGCGCATGCTCGGTCAACGGGTAAAGGTTAACATAAGCAAGCATGAGAACGGTTTGCTCGATTTGTGAATCAAATTTTAAGTTTCAAAATATATCAATTATCCTCGATGACACCTTAACTACTGACCTACAGCGGCATGAAGACGTCAAAAAATTTTGAGAATCCCCCACACCCCCCTGACCGACGCATTGTTCCTGTGAGGTAAGACTGTCCCAACTTCAAGAGATCTGCTATGGCTAATTATCAGAGTCTATCATAATATTTGTTTCTAGCCGGGAAGGGGGTGGAATATATTTCTGTTCGTTAGAAAATCTCTCGAATCGAAGAAATTTAGCGTCTAGTACTTTTTGATCGATGCATGCGCCTCAAAGTGACATTCTTTATTCCTTCTTCCCCTGCAGTTGATTTTCCCGAAACTGTAGAGTCAGGCAGTGTGCACGACAGATGCTGCTGTTACGTTTATATAACGTGGAATTTTTTTTAACTTCAAAAAAAAAAAAAAATGCCCATTGACCAAAAAACCGCAGAAATTCCGACACCGGAAATTGAAAAGAAAATAACTGTATTTTGACTGCCTCTCGACAATGCTTATCAGTCTCAGGCTAATTTCGGATTAATCAGGGAATCTTTAAAAAGCAACGCGACAACATTAAAATTGGGTGTGTTGCAAATTAGCCTTCAGTTTCGGCCGGTCTTGTCACAAAATCCGCCATATAATACATAGCGGCAGTTTTTAGTCTGTGTGAGATGCATCGGTGTATTCTGAGCAAGCGCCTGAAAGTGACATTCTTCATTCCTTCTTACTCTACTGCTGATTTTCTCAAAACTGTAGTGTCAGGGAGTGCGCATGGCAGATTTCGCTCTTAAGCCAATTTAGATAAGGTGGAATTTTTTTGAACTTAAACAAATGCCCATTTAGCAAAAAACCACAGAAATTCCGGCACAGGAAATCGAGAAGAAAATAACTGTATTTTGACTGCCTTTCGACAATGCTTATCAATGCTTATCAGTCTCAGGCTAAAGCAACGGCGACAACATTAAAATTGGGCGCGTTGCAAATTAGCCTTCAGTTCAGCCGGTCTTGTCACAAAATCCTCGATATAGTGCATACCGGCAGTGTAAGCTGTCTGAGATCCAAGTTATTGTAAATCAGATTTCGGTTAAGTCCGAAAATTGAACAAACTTTTGTTTTTCCGAAATTGTGAATTGTAAATTTTTTGCTATTTCCCTAGTTCGGGGCCACCTTGGAAGTTTCATATATAATTCCGCCCTCTCTTCTCTCGTCTCCCGCAAAGTTCCCAGACGGTAGCTTAGAATTGGTCCAAATTTGAACTGTCAGCTGAGAAATGACCCGGGCTTTTTTATGACGGTAGCTAAGAGCTACAAAGTTTCCTAATAACCGAGACTGAAACAGGCTGAAATTTGAATTGATAGACGAGACATCGCCGAACATATTTCACTGATAACAGAGATGCCCACCCCAGTCACACCCAATGCAAGCCCCCCCAATTTATCACCTCTGCCCTCGCTATAACCATATTAAGGATCGAAATACAAAACAACAACCCGTTAGAATAATCTCAGCGCCAAAACAAAAAAAGAAAAAGAAAAAAATGCAGAAAAAAAAAAGATTGAAAACAAACAGAACCGTGTGGCTTCTGTACCATGGAAAGCTGTTCATTAGATGGACATTTTACTTGTAGAAAGTGTCCGTGAATTTGTCGCGAAACGTAACAGACCTCCTACACAGTCTTGGTTTTACTATTTGCAAAACTAATTGTGTAATAATCAGGCATAATCATTAATTATAGAATAATGGGATTATAAGATTAGGCGAATTTCTGACCGAATACCTTCATAAAGTACTATTTCATTCAGAAAGTGAGAAGGGATTTTCGACACATGATTTGAAATTAGCTGGGAATTCAATAAAGTTTGTTATCTTACATTTGATCTCGCGCTTAACTTCATTGAACTTGATCGCTTCTGGTCACAGTTTCGCTTCGAAACATTCAGTCGCCCTGGTATACAGACCTATAAGCCTGTAAACCTGAGCTTATTTGACTTGCACTGGAAACAAAATTAATTTTTACTAAGCAGTTATTTCGGATCTTCACGCGAACCAGTATCGTTTACGGAAAGAGACGTTTTTAGTCGACCTGCGCGAGGTTAAAAAAAAAAAAAAAAAAAAAAAAAAA